GAGGGCACGGGGAAGGGGAGTCACAGGGGTGCCCAGGTGGAGGGGAGGCGAGAGGGCACGGGGAAGGGGAGTCACAGGGGTGCCCAGGTGGAGGGGAGGGGAGAGGGCGCTGCGAAGCAGACACAGGGGTGCCCAGTGTTTTGCTTGTTAGGTTTTGCTTCTCTGCAGAACCTGTCAGTGGAAAACAAAAATGATGTATTATGGGGCAAGGAAGAGGCTGAGAAGAAAATTCTTGCTGCAAATCCTTCAGGTCCGAGGAGCTCGGGCCTGTGGAGCTGCGTCCCGCCTTGGCCCAGCCCCTTCCTGAGACGGCTTGGGCTGTTTCCCCGCACCTGCGGCCAGGGCTGGGCGGCCGGGGACAGGAGACGCACAGGGACGGCCCTTTGTCCCCGTTAGCAGTTGTGGTTCAGGGTCCCTGAGCCACCATGGCCCGGGTGTGTGGGGGCAGGCCTCAAAACGACCAGAACGCTGGCTGAGACGTGGTTCTGAGGCCCCCACTCTGCCTTCCCACAGTGTCACTCCCCACTAAACCCAGGCGCGTGGCGCCTGCCCGTCTGCCCCCAGGTACCACATCTACAACGTGAACGAGGAGAACCCTGGCTTCCCTGAGCCGCGTGCCGTCTTCTACACGGCGCAGATCATCTGCGGCCTGGAGCACCTGCACCAGCGGAGGATTGTGTACCGCGACCTCAAGCCCGAGAATGTCCTGCTGGACAACGATGGTAGGGGGCAACGTGGCCGCGGGACGGGCTCCGAGGAAGGGCGGGCGCAGCTTCCCTGAGGGCTCTGCATGAACCTCACGAGGGCAGTGGCTGCATGGACAGTGGGGGCGTCACAGACACCGAGTCACAGGAGTGAGCACAGGGGCCTGCGCTGCAGAACCTGCCGGAAACGGCGTCTGTTAGGCCCTGTCCCCACCGTGCCACCCTGTGCCTTCTGCTGGGATGAGCGTCACGCAGGGACGCGTCTCAGAAATAAACATGAGGTTTAGGCTCCCGACACCAGCAGGTCAGACAAGTGCCAGACGCACGCGAGGGGTCCTGAGAGAGCGCGGGGGGCGGGGGGCGATGAGAGGAGCTCAGTGGGCGACACCTGTACCCAGCTGCCCAGCTGCAGTGTGGCCGGCCCCTTCCCTACACCCTGTGCCTGCTGCCATCAGCCAGGGAGCTGCTGTCGTGGGCGCGACGTGGGCTGTGTATGTGTATGTGGTTTGTGGGGAGTGTCTGTGTGTGTGTTGTGTGTGTGGTGAGTGTGTGACATATGGTGTGTGGTGTGTGTGTGATCTGTGTGGTGTCTGTGGTGTGTGTGGTGTCTGTGGTGTGTGT